TACAGTTAAAGCCCCCATCTTATGCCCCTTTGTGAAAAGTTTAGATCTGGATAGTAATATTCAGACCTAAACGGTACCTTGAACTTAATGTTTTCTTCAACTTGTTTGTTTAGGCTTTTCATACATGCATTTCTCCCTACATAATACAAAGTATTGCTTTATGTCTTTTCAAAGTTTACATAAATAGAATCATTCTTGATGAACCCTCCATAATGTGTTTTATTTAATATACTTTTCAAGATTTTTACATGTAAATATAGATTTGGTTAATTCATTTAAACTGTTATGGTGGAATTGTAATGATTAAATATACCATATTTTATTTTTCTAAATAATCCTAACAGATTGTTTCTTATTTTTTGTGCAATTATAAGCAGTGCAAAAATGAACTTTCTTTTGCATGCATGTCTCCTTGACAAGCTGGAGTACAGATTCTTTAGATTTATGTATTTGGAAACATAATTGATAGATTAAATGATATGAGTGTTTTCAACTTGAGTTGATATTGTCATATTTCTTTCTGTAATTGTTCTACTGACTTTATTTCCACCAGTTATGAATGAGAATTTCTATATCAAGAATTGAATTCGGGTATCAGTAATGGAGACTATTAGTGGCTTGATTAATTTGTGGTTTCATTGTTAAGATTACCTTGTGGTCCAAGTTGGCTCCTAGAATTCCACTGTCATGTCTACACAAAGGAAGGAAAAATGGAAGAACTTGAAAGGACTTTCCTGGAGTTGTGAACCAACTGTTTTGTGTTGACATCCCATTGGCTGCCTTTCTCTTCATTGAAGACTGGAAAATGTAGTTTTTAGCTAGGTACATTGTACATAAGAAAGGGGGAGTGTTTATTGGATAGTTCATAAGCATTTTCTGTCACAGATCTCATTTTTCCTGGTCTGTAGTAACATTTGCTGTTATGAAATGTTTCATTTTTGACAGTCAGATGGGTTTGAGGTGGTATCTCTCTTTTAAAATTGCATTTCCCTACTGGTAAGGGTCAGAATTTTATACATGTGTTTAGGGTTTTTTTTGTGTGAATTGCCTTTTCATATTCCTTTGTCATTATTCTATTAAGTTTTGTCTTTTCCTGATTAATTTAGCATAGCACCTTATTATTCAGGGCTACCCGTCTTTTGTTTCTTTACATCCAAATAGATGTTTTTGTCTTATTTTTTTGTCTTATTTTTAAACTTCTCGTGTGATGTGCTTTATTTATAATGGAGTGAAATTTAACAGATGTTATCCTTTGTGATTTGTTCTTTTTATGTCTGTTTTGGGGAAGAAATTTTTTCCTACCCTGAAGTCATGAACTCTTATAAAAATTTTTTTTAACCTTTTGCTTTTCAAAAATTTATTTGGAGGTTTTCGTATTTATATTTATGAATGATTTGATGTAAGGATCTCATTTAACTTTTTTCTATATGGAAAGCTAGTGGTCTCAGCAGCATTCATTTAATAATCTATCCTCTTGCCACTGTTTGCTTTGTTATATCTATTGTATATCAAATTTCTGTATGTGAATAGGCTTTTGAATCTGTTCCATTTGTATATTTATGTTTTGTGATAGCTTTATAAAAACTCTTTGTCTATGGGCCGGCCTTTGGCTCACTTGGGAGAGTGTGGTGCTGATAACACCCAGGCTACGGGTTCGGATCGATATCAAATTTCTGTATGTGAATAGGCTTTTGAATCTGTTCCATTTGTATATTTATGTTTTGAGATAGCTTTATAAAAACTCTTTGTCTATGGGCCGGCCTTTGGCTCACTTGGGAGAGTGTGGTGCTGATAACACCCAGGCTATGGGTTCGGATCCGGCCGGTTAGCTCACTTGGGAGAGCCTGGTGCTGACAATACCAAGTCAAGGGTTAAGATCCCCTTACCGGTCATCTTTTCTTAAAACAAACATACAAACAAAAAAACCTCTTTGTCTAGTATGTTAGTCCCTGTTCTTTAAAATTGTCTCTGCTATTCTTGGCTTTACTTTCTATTAAGTTTTAGGGTCAGCTTGTCCAGGTGCACAAACATTTCGATTAGAATTTAATTGAATTATTAGGTTAATTTGGGGGAATTTGACATCTTTATGATCTTGAGTCTTCATATTTGTAAACATGGTCTGCCTCTCCACTTGGTCAGGTTTTTGTTATATCCTTTAGTAACATTTTATACTTGTTTTCTTAAAGGTTTTGCCTATTTTGTTAGATATGTTCCTAGGTGCTGTAAAGTTTTCATTTCCAGTGTGAATTGTGTCTTTCTAATAAACATTTTATCTTCTAACTAGTTATTGTTGGTATATAGTTATTTTATTAGTTTTATCTGGATCTTGTCTTTAGGAACATCTATATTATCTTAGTGGTTCAGTTTTTTATCATTCTTCCACCTTTCTTTTTCAGTAAATCCATATTCGTGTATTTCTTTTGTATTTTAGGCATTCCATCTTTTGCTTGAACATGAAAGTAATACTGCTGTCACTACTTTTTCAGGCAGCTCAGACCATTCCATTTTATTTTAAAATGCAGCTTATTGCTGTTGTTTATTCTTAGTTATGGCTGAAAGGACCTGCCAGAGAGAGAAGTCTTTACGTTAGGTTCTGTGCCTTAGAAACTGCCAAGACTTCCCTCACTGGAGCTGTTTGCTCCTTGTTATTACCTCCCCTCTCATCTTCAGTTCTCAGTTTACTTCTTACCTTTATTCCCCTGCTTTTATGTCTTCCTTTCTCTTTTGTTTGCCTATTTTTCCATCCTTTCTCCTTCAGTTTTGTAACTATAGTTTTTAGCACTTATGGTTTTTAGACAGGCACTTTATTTTGTGCTTTACAGATGTTAACTCATTTGACCTTTATCACAGTCTATTGAGGATGGTGGGTCAGTTTCATTTCATAGATGAGGAAGTGAGGAGACCCAAGCTTATATGCAGCTACTTCAAAAAGTTCATGGAAAGATTTGCATTTTCCTTTAATTCTATTTTTTCAGAACTGTTTGAAGTATCTTTGAGTAAGTAGAAATTAGGAGAGCCTGGAGAGTAAGGCAGGCCTTTCAGATTGTTAATATCAGGGATCTTTCCACTTTGCTATACTATTGAGGTTAAGTGTCTTCCTGCTGTTTTTCGAAGTGGATGAGTTAAATGTGCTGTATTTTTTTCTAATAAAAAATTCTAGTGAATCTTGGGCTGGCTGGTTATTTCACTTGGGAAAGTGTGGTGCTGATAACACCAAAATCAAGGGTTTGGAGCTCCTTTCTGGCTGCCGCAAAGAAAAAAAATCCAGTAAATTTTGAGATGGTATCTTTAGATTAAAATATTTCTAGTGAATCTTGGGCTGGCTGGTTATTTCACTTGGGAAAGTGTGGTGCTGATAACACCAAGATCAAGGGTTTGGAGCTCCTTTCTGGCTGCCGCAAAGAAAAAAAATCCAGTAAATTTTGAGATGGTATCTTTAGATTAAAATATCTGCAAGTGTGTGTTTTGCATAAAGTATGTTACTCAATCTTTTGTGAAAGCCATTTTCCACAGCATTCTAAAGAAAAAGAGACTTAGAGAGAGAAGAAAGACTTAAATAAAATATAAATAAAAGTTCACTATGTCAAATATGTTTCACAAAAATGTATTCTGTGTAGCCATGTAGCTACATGAATGTTCTAACGAGTGGTCCTATTATAAGAGTGCTATTATTATCTCAGTATTCATCACAACATATGCTTTCTGTACATATCGGTTAAGTATACTTGCATTGTAAGTGTTGATAGAAGAAAAGAGTTAGGGAACCTGGATTCTATTCATGGCTCTATTACTAATTAGCAGTGTTGTTCTGGGCAAGCCATTTTGCCTTAACGGGCGTTAATGTCTTATATAAGCAGTCCAGGTCAGGCTTAAAGAGTAGTAGATTAGTGGGAAGAAAATTTCTAAGGATACAGCTAGATTTGTAAATTAGCAAAAAATAATTTTTGTCATTACCCTTGTGGTATTTTCACTTTCATAAGGTACTTTATAGTCCTCGTTCATATGCTTATATACTTTTATAGAGTTATAATCATGGTTATCTGCTTATGTTCTCATTTTCTCATGCCTCTCATACATACCTCTCCTGAACTGTATAGTTTTCAAGAAGTTTAATTTTAGGTAATCCCTTTAATATTGTACCATTACCTTTTGTGAGATAGTTCAGTGGTTTCTAGTTTTGTTTTGTTTTTAATTTATGGAATATTTGTTTAAGTTACTTTCCAGTCATGAGACGATTCCATCAAATGGTATCAAAACATTTATTTCTCTTGTTTTATTGTTAAATTGCTTTCACATTGGTTTCAAATAATCTTTAATGCTGCAGTGTTTGAACGACTCAGTTTAATTATAGGCAGCATTTATTTATTCATTGAGCCCTGTCCTGGTGGAGGTTACATTCTAGTAGGGAAGATATATTACACCCATAATAAGTAAATTGTACTTTATATTAGAAGATGAGGAGGACTACGCAGAAGAGAGCAGGGTAAGGAGATTCTGAGTGGGGCGACTGGCACTTTGTATCAGTCAGAGTAGGCCTCACTGAGAAGGTGGTATTTGAGCAGGGCATGAGGCATTGGGTTTGCTTTATGTATTTTTTTCTGTTTTTTGCTAATTTAAGAAGTTTATGTATTGCTCAGTGTTAATATCTATTTTCTTTGCTAGTGAAAGTGAGTGGTTTTCCACATATTTCCTGTTTTTATATTTAATTCTGGCAAAATTAGAAATTTTTGTAAAAGAACAAGAGTTTTCAGTGTAGGACTGTCTCTGTTCATATAACTAAGAGTGGGGAAAATTGGCTTTAACCACATAGTTTGTGTTTAAACCTGTGTAGAATATTCTGCTCAGGGCTTTAATAAGGAACCAAAAATTATCACTAGTTTAAGATTAAAAATAAAAAAGGATGTAAGATTGCTTCTTTTCTAATTGTATTTCTACTTTAAGTAAAGACAAGGGAGTATTTAATTAGCTTATAAGAATAACAGATATTTGTTATTTTATAGGGTGACTGTTGGATCTGTATGGAACTCATGTCTACCTCGTTTGATAAGTTTTACAAATATGTATATAGTGTATTAGATGATGTTATTCCAGAAGAAATTTTAGGCAAAATCACTTTAGCAGTAAGTACCTGGTTTTCATATTGTTTATGGTATGTATAGTTATATAAAGATGCTACTGGGGTTTTGAATGCACGTATCAGAGTGTCCTTCACAGAATGTTAGAATGTTTCTTCCCGGAAAATTATTTGTGGTATAATAAGAGACAAAGTCACTTCTGTGGGGTAATGAACAAAATCATTTGTAAGAGTACTTTTCAAAATATAGTCTAGATAAATATGGTGTTTTTTATTCAAATCTCAATGAACTGTAACAGATTGCTATAAGACTAGAAAATGCAATTTTCTGTTCATTTTTTTACTGTTGCTTTAACTATTTTAAATAGGTTATATTACCTCACTTATCCCTAAATTAATTAGAATTTCAGCAATCTCCTTGGAATCTTTCAGTTGAAGCTCTTAGACAAAATATGATTCCTGTGGTTTAAGATTCGAGTTATCCAGTCTAAACTATTTAAAATGTTGACAAGCAATTTCAGTAACCAGTGTTACTACTAACTTGGTCGATTCACTTTTACCAGAGTGCCAAAAAACAAAAGCAGTATTCTTTTGCATATGTGTTTATAGTTCTGGAAATGAATTTGTGATCACTTACTTTCTTATTCTGAATCTTTTATTTGTCAAATGTTCACAAATTTTTTTAAGGAGAAAAGATAATCTATTTTTAATAGAGCAAAACTAATATGCTTCTCAGAAACCACTGAGAATCTGAGCTAATGACATGTCCTGTGTTAGTTGATGTGTAAACTAAATCATATAGGAAATTGTAAGATAGGTATTCTTATTGCATGTAATTTCCTATCTCTTCCTTGCCTGAATCCTCCCCCTCCAATATAGTCCACCTGTCAGTTGCCAAGTTATCCTGTTTAATCATTAAAGGTTAGTAAGACTGGTTCAAAGTATAGACAGTTTCTGAACTATATTTTTGTTGTAAGAGATACTTGTGTAAAACTGGATTTTTAAAAGTTGGATTTAACTGCAGTCGTTAAAATCTTAAGATTCAGGGCCGGCCCTCTGGCTCACTCGGGAGAGTGTGGTGCTGGCGGCACCAAGGCCACAGGTTCGGATCCTATATAGGGATGGCTGGTGCACTCACTGGCTGAGCGTGGTGCATACGACACTGAGCCTACAGGCCACAGGTTCGGATCCTATATAGGGATGGCTGGTGCACTCACTGGCTGAGTGTGGTGCATACGACACTGAGCCTAGGGTTGCGATCCCCTTACTGGTCAAAAAAAAAAAAAAAAATCTTAAGATTCATAGGTCTCATGTTAATATTTTAATATTTCAATTCGCTTTGCCAAAGTAATGATTAAATTTAAATGTTTTATGAGCTAAATTTTAAGATATATACTTTTCCTTACAGTTTTTAAAAAGAAGCTGAATTAGATGAGAAACTTAATCATTATTCAAATGGGTATGTGAAATTTTACATAGATCAGTTTAGCTCTCTCTCTTCAGTATACCAAACCAGTAGTATCTTGGAACTTGTTACTATTCATAATAATTATAATATAACAATAGTAGAATAACGATGATGTAAATTTGCATCAAGTTAATATAATATGATGTTTAATCTTCATAGCAATTCTCTCTGGTAAATAGTGTAACCACATATTTTGCAGAAGATAAATCTGACACATGAAGAGGCTAAGTCATTAATTTGCTTTAAAATTTATACATTTGTAAGTGGTCAATGATGTAAGCCCAGGCAGCCTGATCTCAGAACCCTGCTCTTAATCACTGTATGACAGGAGGCCACAAAATTGGAAAATATAGATAAAATTGTTTTATTTTATATTGCAATATGTATAATATATACACTAATAAATGATTTATTATATATTTGCTTATGTTTCCAGACTTGGTGAATAACTCATATAACATAACATTTAAAATTACTTTATATTAAGTCTCTTCTTGCTAATTAATAAACCAATGAACACACAAGCATAGCTATTCAGAACATTCCAAGTTTGTGTGTTCTGCATTCTTTATACCCAGCAGCTTGATGACATGAGAACTGACTTTTTTTTTTTTGACTGGTAAGGGGATTGCAACCCTTAGCTCTGTGTCATCCACACCACGCTCAGCCAGCGAGCACACTGGCCATCCCTATGTAGGATCCGAACCCGCGGCCTTGGCGCTACCAGTGCTCTTACTTGTTTAAATGGTAATCTTGGCCTTATTAGAACATAGATTGAAATTTAAACATTTGTTATAGTTGAAGACCAAACTTAGAAAGGCAGTAAGTCCATGGGAATCCTGAATTTAATTCAGCAAATAGATTAAATACTTTCTCTATTTATTGCTATGCTAGACTCAGAAGAGGCACACAGGGTCACTACCTTCAGTAAGTTTGTAATGGACAAACCTAAACAGTACATGGCAGTGTGTGATTCATCCAGACAATAGATTGAATAGAAAGTAAAAGGTCAAATTCAGAGAAGTGAAAAATCTTGAATTCTAGAAAACATAGTTTCTGGTTGTTAAAGAAATTAGTAATTGGGGCATTTAAGTACTTCCAGTTTGGGGTTGACACTGGACCACTGAAATCAGTTAACCTTGAATATCAGAACATTTTGCTTAATTTTGCCTTGCTTAATGCTTTTTAAAAATAATACTAGGTAGCCTTCTTGTTTTCTCTTCTGGCCTAAAATCACATAGTATTGGCTCCTAAACAAAATTGTTTGTTTCTTTTGTAGTTTATCTTCTTATTTAGTTTTTTTCCTTTTTTCTTTAGCTGTGTTTTAACTATGAGAGTATCACCTTTAAGGCATTTGACAATTACCTTAGGGATACTCCCTGATCTTAGTAAAACACTAAGACACTGCTGGGAAGTACCTGAATAAAATAAAAAAGTATTCAAAAGTAACTTTGGTTTTCCTCTTATTAAATAAAATGATGAGTTCATAGTGGTCTTTTTATCAATTAGGAAGCTTTTGTGCTGCCATCAGTGTTGATCACAAGTAACAGAAAATCTTGATGTCAGGCTTAAACTTTCTAAGGAAAGTCATTATCTATCATAATGTATGACTAGGGGCAAGCTCCCTTCTTTTGACTCTGCCCTCCTTCTTGCGTTGGCTCCGTGCTCAAGGCAGTAACAACTGCAGCAGTGTCCAGTGTCACATCTAGACATGGCAACCTCCTAAAGAAGCTCTCTCTTCCTGAGTGGCTGCCTTAGGAGCATGGAAATTTTCCCTATGTGTCTGTAATGTTTTCTGTTTTCAGCAGAATTGCCTTATGCCCTTAAACTAGCTACTGTCAAGGAGCACAAGACCAGTCAGGAGCCAGGTTTTAGAGGGATGGCTAGAGCCACCTAGAGAATAGATACCTCAACAAATGCAGGTTCCATTAGAAAGGGTGGGGTGGGTGGTTATGCGTGGATGTTTGGTAGGCGGTCAGTTGTGTCAATGATGATGAGAGGTCTTTTTGTGGGTCAACTTCTGAGTTATATACCCATTAGAAAGGGTGGGGTGGGTGGTTATGCGTGGATGTTTGGTAGGCGGTCAGTTGTGTCAGTGATGATGAGAGGTCTTTTTGTGGGTCAACTTCTGAGTTATATATGGATGTTTTCTATATCCTCTATTTGTAGACCTTACGTTGTATTCATTGAGCTATGATGATGACATGGATAGTAGGATTGAGATCATGAGAGTTAGTGAGCAAAGGGGGAAAATTGACCAGACAGCTGATTGGCAGATACTGGTAGTGAGTCAATTGTAAATGAGGAAGAGATTTGGCTTTCTCCACTTTGAGGGACAGCACACGCACTCCAGGAGTGGTAGAAATGAATCTTGTTTCTCAATGCTGAGTCCAAGAAAGGATTATTTGGGAGAAACTGGATGAAGTCATCTAAGTTCAGAAAAATCTCTTAGAAATAATTAAGTAGTTGCATTTATTGAGGATGAATAATGTTCAGGTACTATATTAGGTGTTTAAATTTCTACAACCCTAGGAAGTAGGAAGTATTATTTTCATTCTGTAGATGAGGAAATTGTGGTTGTTCAGTAGCTTGCCCAGGTCACATTGTGAGTTTCAGACCCAGACTTTGAGCCTTCTCATGTCTGATCCTAAAGCTCGTGGTCATTTCGATGTTATGTATGGGATACTTGCTAAGTTAAATAAGGGTCCACTATAATGAAATTGTGGGTTTATAATTTGTATACCTTTTATTTAGTTGTAAAGCCTTTGATGATTATTGTAAATTAGCTTAATGTACTCTAACAGATTAAATTCGTCCCTCATATTTTAACTATTACATAATGAATTTGAACCAAGTAAATGAATACAAGCCTCTTGATGAAATCAAAGAAAACATTTTAGAATACCTGAATTTATTGTGAAGCATTTTTTTATATTTAGTTTTTAAGCATCAGCATTCAGAAAGTTTTTTCTCATTTCCAATAGAGAAAAGTCATAGTTTTGTCTATGTTTATAAATATGAAGATAAGAGAAAAGTCAACTTTCGTTCATATCTTTTGGATTATTAAGATGTTGCTGGTGAAATGACTTTTGCTATGTTATATTTACACAATTGTAGTCATTAAAGTGTTTAGAACAGGAATAATGATTGCATGTGATATATGAAGAGGTTTTGCTTGAAATACTTTCAAATATGGCTCATTTGATTGCTTATTGTACGCTCAATGACATCTGTCTCTTGTAGATATCAAACCTTCCAATATTCTTCTGGACAGAAGTGGAAATATTAAACTCTGTGATTTTGGCATCAGTGGACAGCTTGTGGACTCCATTGCCAAGACAAGAGATGCTGGTTGTAGGCCATACATGGCAGTAAGTGCAAAGTCCAAGTCTCCTTGCTTGATAATCATTGTACAGAGAGCCTGTGCTATTTGGTGCTGTTCTTCTAAGGAATCTGCCATTGGCCATGCAGTTTTGCCATGCTAGTGTATTTTCCTCTCCCCTAAAGACTAAGCTCAGGTTCTAGCTTCTCCATGACACTTTGCTAAGTTATCCCAGTGAACTCCTGTTCTTACTGTGTCTTATCTGGCATTTAGCATTTGTGGTCTTCTTTGATTATTACTTTTTCATTGTATTCAACTCAACTCATCAACTGGACGGTAAGTTCTCAAAAGGCATCTTTGTGTTTCTGGCATCCCATATGCTGTCTTGACTGTAGTAGATATTACATGTTGAGAATGTGTCTTAGGCTATTAAGGGATGCTATTTCCAATTAGAGAAGAATGGGAAGACTTTAGTTCCTAGCAGAACATAGTAGGTCTTACAGAGTCTGAAGTTACGTTTTGAATATCGTTAGTCCCTTCTTCAGGGCTGAACAAAGCACCCAAAAAAATGCTACAGTAGAGGCCTTAGGTATTTCATGACCTGCAGCCTGTTTCCCCTCAGGGAGACAGATGTACGTTGTCCTACAGATATCATACTCATCTTACTGCAGTGTATTTGTATGTACTGTTTCTACAGCTTGGGTTTTGATCTGTATTTGAATTGTAATTTAATGTCCATACTTTAAACATTTTTCATAGGTGTTGGTATATTTCTTTTGTGTGGCCATGGTTCTTTGGGGACTGGCACACTAGTCTAAATGGTGATACATAAGGTTTTGCAGTTGTTTATTGAGGTATTCAGCAGCTTGTGTTTCATCTTTGTAGACTTTTTTTTTTTTTCCTTTCTGTCTTTTTTCGTGACCGGTAACGGGATCGCAACCCTCCGTGTCGCGCCCGCACCGCGCTCAACCAGTGAGTGGACCGGTCTCTATATGGGATCCGAACCCTCGGCGGGAGCGCTGCTGCGCTCCCAAGCGCCTCATTCTACAGAGTGCGCCACCGGGCCGGCCCATCTTTGTAGACTTTTAAAAAGTAAGATTAGCTTAGAATTGGATAAATTTTTTTTCTCCTTTTACTGTTAGTTTCTTCTTTGATTTATATGTTTCCAAATTCAATACTATAAACAATAGAAGACTATGTAAGAAGAAACATAGGATAGATATTATGGGTTTTCTGCCTTGTTTATGAATGTGTAGGCTTAGTGTTACCCCAAATTTCACACTTATATTAAAAACCTGAATAAATTTTATTTCTTGCATCACTGGAAAGTAAGTTTTACATTAACAATTCTTTCTCCTCTTATTTACTTCTCAATCTGTAAATAGGGTAAAAAACAGTGTTACATATATTCTTTGTAATGTTCTGTTGCCTTTTTATACTCCAGTCTCATATTTAAAAAACACTGTATTTGAAAATTTTCAATATTGATAATATTTTAGAATTGTTGCATTTTCCAATACCTCTTAGTGTTTTGGTATATTTCTTCATGTCAGCTTTTCTACAAATGAAAATGCAAGAGGGGTGTGTGTGTGTTTTAAGACAAAAAGGTACCTTCATTTAAAGTTTAAGCTTTGTGGACGTTCACCGGCCAGGCAGATTCTTGGGACAATTGCAAACAGATCATATGTTTATCGTGATAATTAGGGATACATGACACAACAGGTTCAAAGGCAAGAAATAAAAGTAATTAGACATGGAGCATTTGGGAATTGGTGTAATTTACATATTTAGTAATGATGCCCTGGGAATTAACTGAAACAGATATCAACACTTTTAGGGCTTGTCTCAGTACTAAGTTAACTGTTTTTGCTGTGTGACATTGGCTAAGGATTATATTTGATTCATGCAGGCTTTAAAAATGTAATTGCCGCCCAGATAGAGTAGAATATTTTGAATTCAGATAACTTTTAAGAAAAATTCGGACTTCATGTTCTTTTGTAGAAGTGTGATTTGTAGGCCCAGGAGGTGCAGGGCTTCTCTTTTTCTGCTGACCTTCTTCAGCTTTGGATCAGGCATGCTGGTGATAAAGTCTGCCTTGAACCTCCACTGGATCAAATGAAATGCTCCTGAGCATTCTAGTCTTCTGAGGCCTATATAGATGGACAGAATGCAATCAGCATTAGTTTTAAAAGCCTCCAAGTGGCTTGACTGTTCTTTGATGTATCTTGACAGAATATATCAGAAATGTATCTTTTTAGTTAAGATTTATAATTTGTTTTAGTCTACAGGAATTGGGATTTACTCATTAGATTGTTTTATACAAACTGTATAAAATGTAGAGTTTATACAAGTTTTTCTGTAAACTAATTGTTAACATTTTACCACCCCCCTCATACAGGTGTGTATGTTTGTGGGTGTGTATGTGCTGAACCATTTGAAAGTGAGTTAAATATATCATGAATTTCATTCTGAACACCTCAGCACATATCTACCAAGAAAAAGGGCATTCTTCTACATAATCATGCTATTATTACCACATCTAAAAAAGTTAACAAGAATTTCATAGTATTATCTAATATATAATTTGTACTCAAATTTCCCCAAATTTTCCCCCAAAGTGTATTTTTTAGTCGTAAATCCAAGGTCTTGTTAAGATTACACATTGATTTTATTTGTTACATTCTTTATTTTAATCCAAACTGGTCTAAACCACTCTTTTTGTTTTTTATTTGTTTTCCATAACATTGGCTTTTAGTTAAGTTGTTATTTTTATTTTTTTTTTTGCAGCTAGCTGGTAAGGGGATCTAAGCCCTTGACCTTGGTATTACAAGGTGGCACTCTAACCAACTGAGCTAACCGGCCAGCTTGGAAGTGTTTTTAGAATGTTCCACATTTTAGATTTGTCTGATTATTCTTTCATGATTAGATACAGCCTATCAACTTCTTTGGCATGGGGCATGGATACTTACAGATGATGTATACTTTGTGTTGCATCACATTACAAAGCACATAACCTTTACTATTTGTAATGCTTATAGACATGCCTTTTTTTTTAACAGTTGAAACAGTTGCAAAATAGAAACTTAAATTTCCTCAATTTTTTTACTTTGTTCCCCTTCCAAATGAGTGATAATCTTTCGTTTTCAAAGGATTCAGTCACCTAACATCCTGTCACCCTCCCCTTCTGCCACCTTCCAACACGAAGAGACTTTTATACTCTAAGAAAAGAAACTTCTTTCTTACTACAGATTTTCCTAAATGTTTTCAAAGGATTCAGTCACCTAACATCCTGTCACCCTCCCCTTCTGCCACCTTCCAACACAAAGAGACTTTTATACTCTAAGAAAAGAAACTTCTTTCTTACTACAGATTTTCCTAAACACTTTTCAGTGGAACTCCCTTTGTTTTGTGGCCTGTTATTAGTAACTAGAATTTCTATTCCATGGAAAACAATTCATTTAACAATGTTATAACGTGTTGTGACTGTCTAAACTAGGCTTTTCAAGTGAAAAAAAAATTTCTTTAGTGTATTTAGGTGGGACTCTACCATAGTTATTTTTATAGCTCTTGCTCATCAATTAAGTTCCAGTTCTTTATTGGTTTAAAAATTGAAGACTTAAAACCACCATGAGATACCACTTCCTACCCACTAGGATGGCTAAAATCAACCCATCAGACAGTTAGTGTTGGTGAAGATATGGAAAAATTGGAACTTCATACACTTCTGGTAGTAATGTAAAATAGTATGCCACTTTAGAAAAGAGTCGGCAGTTCCTCAAACATTTAAACATAGAGGTACAATAGGACCCAGTAGTTGCGCTCCCAGGTATATACCCCAGAGATATGAAAGCACATGCCCACACAGACTTATTCATGAATGTTTGTAGCAGTATTTATAATAGCCAAAAGTTGGTAGAAACCTAAATGTCCATCAGTGGATGAATGTGTAAACAGAATATGATACATCCATATGGTGGAATATTATTCAGTCAAAAAAAGGAACGAAGTACTGATTCACATTGTAACATGGATAAACCGTGAAAACATTATGCTAAATGGAAGAAGATAGATACAAAAGACCACATATTATATGATCCCATTTATATGAAAGTTCAGAATAGGGAAATCTGTAGAAAGTAGGTTAGTGGTTATTTAGAGCTGGTGGGGGAGTGGAGATGGAATAAGATGAGGTAGTGATCACCAAAGGGTACAGGGTTTCTTTTTAAGATGGTGAAAATGTTGTAAATTGACTCTGGTCAGGTTGCAAATATCTGTGAATATACTTAAAGCCATTGAACTGTACACTTTAAATGGGTGAATTGCATGGTATGTGGATCATGTCTTAATAAAGCTGTTAAAGGCAAACAAACAAACAAAAAACCCCTGAAGGCTACCTCTGTGAGTCCGTGCTGAGACTGCTATAGAGGTATGTACAGTCCCTGAGAATTTTGACATTCAAAAAATCCAGTCAAGTGAACAACTATCCATTGGCGATACTGCTGTCATCTTTCGAAATGTGGATTTGCAGTCCAGTTAACTAATACTGGAGAAACTCTTTAGCAATTGAATTGCTTATATCTGAATGTGAGACAACTGCTCCTCATAATCGGGGCATAAGTTGGTGATGGTTTTCTCCTATGAAGGGCTTTTCACTTTAATTTTGCTTTTCCTAATATAATTCCTTTTATTTATTGCCTAGTAAAACATATGGGAATATTCAAGGAAAGTTCCAGTTCTGATCCCCCTTCCCTGGCATTAAATGCATGTATATGCATATTACCAAACGCAACTCATGTGCCAGTTTACTGTTTGTACTCATTAACTTTGAATAATTTATCCCCAGTGGCTTGATATTTTCACTGTCATATTTTTATGTAAGTGTAATCATATTGCACATATTGTTTTTCATCTGTTTTTTAAGCATTTTCCAGGTTGATACATTTTTATATATAATGAATTTAGCCATTAAAAATTATTTAATTTTGTTTTTTGTCTGCTTAAGTTTTTCTAGTGTTTTGTTACACTAAATACTCCTGTAAACATTTTTAA